AATGAATTCTTTTTAATGGCTGAGTAATATTCCATGGTGTATATGTACCACAGCTTCCTCATCCATTCGTCTGCTGATGGGCATCTGGGTTGCTTCCATGTCCTGGCTATTATAAACAGTGCTGCGATGAACATTGGGGTGCACGTGTCTCTTTCAGATCTGGTTTCTTTAACAGCTGGGCCACAAAGGAAGCCCATTCAACTGTTGAATGGGTAAATAAATTGTGACATATTTATATGGTGGAATATTATAAGCAGGGAAAATGAATTACTTACCATCACATGCAACACCATGATGAATCTTCAGACCTAATGACAGCTAAAGAAGCTAGATAAAAAGAGAACACAGGCTGTATTTCCAAATTAGAAAAATAATCAATGGTGATAGAATAGTAGTTACCTTCGGAGAGGATGTGAAGGCAGCCTCTATGTTGTAGGTTCTGTCCTATTATTAGATCTGGGTGATGATTACATGGGTTTGTTTATTTGCTTGAAGTTTTATGAAGTTATATATTTTATGAAGTAAGGTTTTATGAAGTTATTATATTCAGGATTTATATATTTTTCTGAATTTGTTATATCTTTTAAAAATGTGGGCCCTCCAAACTGTAATTTTACTTTAAAAAATTGAAATGACTTTATTGTCTTTTAAATCCTTGAACACTCTGTGCAAATTTCTCATGTTCTTCTTCTCAATCTTAATAATAAACATGTGCAGTAGAGAATTATTTATGGGGTAGTTTTTTTTTTCACATTTGTTTATTTTTAAAAAGGGTAATGGATTGCAGGCATGTATTAAATATTTCAAATTCCTTTTCTTATGTTATGCCTTGATATTAAAGATGTTATGTTCATGATGGATGTTTTATTGTTGTGTTGTAGTTATAGGTGAACTTTATCTAGGTGAAAAAGCAGACCTGCTGTTTGAATAACTGAAACTAAGTAAAATATTTGATATCATAAGAATCTCTAGGTTCATTTTACATTCTCTTATCTTGATGTTAACACATTGTATTAGGTGACATTTAACCATAAGAAATACCTGGTGAAAAATTTAAAATTAAATAGATGAAAAATCTGAAGCAAAAGAGAAGCAAAAAGATGATTTATCTTGGTATTGGCATACAAAGAATTGCTTAGGAGAATGTGACTTTGACGTTAAAAACCCAATTTCAAGATCAAGTCCAATAGTTTTTTTCCAACAACTTTGTTGTTGTTGAGGAAAATTTGTAACACATTTGCACATCATTTGTTTCCTCATATATAAAATGCAGGCAGTAAGATTACATGGAAAGTGTTTAGCTCGAAGCCTGGCACATATTAACTTCTAACTATATGACCTATAACTTTAATAATAATAACATTTTTTACCTTAAACAGTAAAGTAAGTTAAGCAGCTTGGAAGAAACAACCAAATTTCTGTTTGTAGATTATTGAAAAGTTCATGTTTATGTATCCTAATTTATAATTTATATGTTAATTTTGAAAAGTTTATATTTATGTACCCTAATTTATAATTTATATATATATATAAATTATTGGAACATGCTAATTGTACATATTGACTAAAATATGAATACAAAAATGGAGATGTCATGTGGGTGTTTCAGCTTTTGCATGGTGCTATAATAAAATTTAGACTTAACTACTTTTGTATTATATTCTTAACTTATGTCCTCTTTGCTAAATCAAGCTGTTCCTTAAATGACTGTTTTATTTTCTTTAATGTAAATTTTGTTTTTATTTGAAAATAAGATTGCTCATTTTCAGTATTAAAATATGTAAGGCAGCTCTCTACAGATGGTGAAATATTTATTTTCCCTAAATTAATAGAGTTGATATATTTTTTAAAAATTGCACATACTTGGGTAAAATATTATTGGGATATTCATTTATCTTATATGCTTTATGGATTTGGTAATTGTTTAAACTATAAAATTGGTCCAATTCATTGTGTGCTTTATATTTTCCTTCCTTGATGAGCTACATATAAATCATTGTATTTTTCATTGTTAATAGGCATTTAATTAAATAGTTCTTGTTAACTTTCATAAGTGTCATGAAATCTCTCTGCATCACTTATGCATAGTTACAACTTTTGCACTTTATCAGTCTTTTAACTCTGTGGACCATTTGTTTTGTCTTCTATGTTTAGCTGAAATTTCACCCCCAGCACATGCTGTTGCTATGCCTTTCTTTGGCTATTTGGATACTGAGTCTGTTATATTATTGCTAACTAGTTCCTGCTTCTTAAGAGACATTTCTGTTTTATAATATAGATCTTTAAAGACCATTTATTACTAATAACTAGTAACTATGACTCTTGATTACAGGTTCTCTTTCTTCTAGAAAAATCCCACAGCACTTTATCTTTGTGGTGATTCAAACGTGTGTGTATGTTAAAACTGAGATGTGAAAATAATGATGGGATAACACAATGTCTTTGTCAATCATTGAAAAATATGACATATCCTATTTTCCTGGTAAACATGAAAGGGAAATAATTTCATGTTTCCTTATTTTTCGTGAAAGGAATAAATATAAGAATTTGTTCTTTTAAAGGTAGAAAACTGTGTAACAATTACATTGTACTTGCCATGATTAGATTGCTTTCCTGTGGCTCAGGATCTAAAGAAATATATTCATCATTCTAATAGGTTTCATGCTTAAAATAAGGACTTGAACTTTAGATAACAGCTAAATATCTTGAAAGTATATAGTGAAAACCAGGACTTCCCATTCAGTAAAGTGTTCTTTCTAGGCTGGGAGTAGGCTTAGAAGAGATTTTTCTGAAGATGAAGTAAAATATTGAAGAAGCCAAAATGCTCTGTTACAAGTAATCTGTTGAATCTATTGAATTTCACTGGGCCTTCAAAACAATCCTACCTGTATACTTAGGTTGATATTTTTATATCACTTTATAACATTAAAAAATATTTAGTGTGTATGTAAATATTATGCACATTTTCTTCTTGAAGCTTGTTTACTAAGGAATGGAGGTTCTTAGTTATGGCAAATATTCCTGCCTAAGTAGTGTGAGCTTTTGACTCAATTAATGAATTTTCTAAGGAAAAAAATCACAAATAAACTTAAATGAATGAGGAATTTGAAGCACACCTCAAGTTTCACTGAGGTATTTCATATGTGCTAAAGAAGGGAGGTTGGTTATAGAAATCTAACCTTTAAGGTGAGAGTGTTGAGATTTTTCAATTCTGATGGATTGAGCAGGGGAAGGCAGTTTTTGTTAATATATGGCTTTGTGATTTGTTCTGTTTTGCACTTTGGATATAATTATATTCACTTATTTTTTAAAGAGTCACATAGTGGTTATGAGACTAACAAATTCATTAATATGTTTTAAATAATATTTTGATGCAGTTTCAGAATTTTTTGGCAGCATATACCATTTGTTATATTGTGAACTTTTATATAAGAGTGGAAAGATTTGGCAAAGAGAAATTTTATTTTATCAGAGATGTATAGTTATTTCTAAATGGATCTCGAACCACTATTCGAGGAGAATAGTGGTTCCAGAATCAAAGGTCTGTAGGTTTGAGAATGTGATAAATGTTCACGTTTGCTTTTGAATATATTAGATTATTTTTATTTCATGTACCTGGTACAAACTCAGCCAAGTGCCTTTTGAGGTTCTGATAACTAAATTAAATGAAATTTTTTTGTTTGTTTGAGATTAAATGCTATAAATTAAAAGTTTGAATACTGTTACCTGTCCTTCAGAATTGGAGATAGGTTTTGGTGCAGGGACTACATTTCAGTTTATTTAAGTGACACTAATTAAAACCTTGCTAGCTATTTATTTGTTTGCTTATTATTTATCTTGGCTTTTTCTTTCCACAGAAGGTTGATGTGGAAAAATGGGTATGTGTTTTCTAAGAGATTGTGATCTAAATGGCTGCATGTTTGCTGTTGCCTCTAATCTTTTTGTTTGGCTTCCTGGTGTGGCTGGTATTATTAGTATTCAAAGTAACTGTATGTTGTGACCAACACGTATTTTACCAGTCTTTAGTTGGAACTTTCTAAATTTCTAGTTTTGTTTCTTTGAAAATGGGATCTGTTCAATATTCTCTGTTACTAGAACACTCACTTCAGTTCAGTCACTCAGTTGTGTTTGACTCTTTGTGACCCCATGGACTGCAGCATCCCTGGCTTCCCTGTCCATCACCAACTACCTGAGCTTGATCAAACTCATGTCCATCGAGTTGGTGATGCCATCCAACCATTTCCTCCTCTGTCATCCCCTTCTCCTCCTGCGTTCAATCTTTCTGAGCATCCAGGTTTTTTCTAGTGAGTCAATTCTTCGCATCAAGTGGCTAAAGTATTGTAGTTTTAGCTTCAGCATTGGTCCTTCCAGTGAATATTCAGGACTGATATCCTTTAGGATGGACTTGGTTGGATCTCCTTGCAGTCCAAGGGACTCTCAAAGTCTTCTCCAACACCACAGTTCAAAAGTATCAACTCAGTGCTCAGCCCGCTTCATAATCCAGCGCTTACAACCATACATGACTACTGGAAAAACCATAGCTTTAACTAGATAGACTTTTGTCAGCTAAGTAATATCTCTGCTTTTTAATATGCTGTCTAGGTTGGTTTGAGCTTTTCTTCCAAGGAGCAAGTGTCTTTTAATTTCATGGCTGGTGTCACCATCTGCAGTGATTTTGGAGCCCAAGAAAATAAAGTCAGCCAATGTTTCTCCATCTGTTTGCCATGAAGTGATGGGACCAGATGCCATGATCTTACTTTTCTGAATGTTGAGTTTTAAGCGAACTTTTTCAATCTCCTCTTTCACTTTCAAGAGGCTCTTAACTCTTTGCTTTCTGCCATAAGGGTGGTGTCATCTGCATATCTGAGGTTAATTTCTCCCGGCAATCTTGATTCCAGCTTGTGCTCCATCCAGCCTGGCATTTCGCATGATGTACTCTGCATATAAGTTAGATAAGCAGGGTGACAATATACAGCCTTGATGTATATTGGAACCAGTTTCATGTCGAGGTCTAACTGTTGCCTATTGAAATGTCTTCTCTTCTTTGCCTATAGTTAAAATTCTGATCCGAATTCTTATCTTGGAAATGGAAGCCTGTTTCTTTCTAAGAATGTGTGTTTCACCTTTTTGTGTTCCTTCCCCAAGATCAGCCATCCTAAGATAAGTCCCTCTCTCATCTTTTTATTCCTTCACTTACATTCCAGTGTTTCTGTGCTGTATCCAAACCAGTATTTCTTAAACCAACCATTCAAGCAACTTTAATTCCTTTGGAAATAGAATGTGTAAATGAATAAAATCCCCTTTTACTATCGTCTAGAAGTATTCCCATTTTTCCTCTGTGCATTTGGTTGCTTTCTTGATCCTACCTTGCTGTGTAGTTTTTTTCTCTCTCATTTTCATAATAATTTCTCATCTCAAAATTTATTCTTGGTATGTTTATTTGCAAACCTTTACCTTATTGATTGCTTTCTAGTTATGAGAAAGTACTGGAGATAACACTGAGCTGACAGTCATGCCGCTTAGTTTTGCAAGTGAATCAATGTATAACTTATGTGTAGGTCTCAGTAAATTTTAGATTTGAGTTATTTCTTTCATTGAAAACCCACAAAGGTCAAATCTTATGCACTTGCTCTAGGAATTTTGAAAGCCTGCAGTCACAGGTAAAATTTGTTCCCTTTTTCTGTCACTTGAAGGATAACAGAAAACAGTTCAACCCTCTGCCTACCAGTCTGCCCTCGGGGTTCCTTCTGCTGTCCGCTTGGGTTAAATTAAGGAGGGGTCCAGGACCTTTCTCATTGATACTCCATAGCCATTTCAAGTCAATTCTTCAGCACTCAACTTTCTTTATAGTCCAACTCTCACATCCATACATGACTACTGGAAAACCATAGCTTTGACTAGACAGACCTTTGTCTGCAAAGTAATGTCTCTGCTTTTTAATATGGTGTCTAGGTTTATCATAGCTTTTCTTCCAAGGAGCCAGTGTCTTTCAAATTCATGGCTGCAGTCATCATCTGCAGTGATTTTGGAGCCCCAGAAAAGAAAGTCTTTCACTGTTTCCATTGTTTCCCCATCTGTTTGCCATGAAGTGATGGGACTGGATACCATGATCTTCGTTTTTTGAATGTTGAGTTTTAAGCCAACTTTTTCACCCTCCTCTTTCATGTTCATCAAGAGGCTGTTTAATTCCTCTTCACATTTTGCCATAAGGGTGGAATCCTCTACATGTCTGAGGTTATTGATATTTCTCCTGGAAATCTTGATTCCAGCTTGTGCTTCATCCCACCTGCCATTTCAAATGATGTACTCTGTGTATAAGTTAAATAAGCAGGGTGACAATGTACAGCCTTGATGTACTCCTTTTCCAACTTGAAACCAGTTTCATGTCCAGTTCTAACTGTTGCTACTTGACCTGCATACAGATTTCTCAGGAGGCAGGTCAGGTGGTCTGGTATTCCCATCTCTTGAAGAATTTTCCACAGTTATTTGTGATCCACACAGTTGGAGGCTTTGGTGTAGTCAGTAAAGCAGAAATGTTTGTTTTTCTGGAACTCTTGCTTTTTTGATGAGCCAACGGATGTTGGCAATTTGATCTCTGTTTCTTCTGCCTTATCTGAATCCAGCCTGAACATATGGAAGTTCACAGTTCATGTACTGTTGAAGTCTGCCTTGGAGAATTTTGAGCATTAATTTGCTAGTGTGTGACATGAGTGCAATTGCATGACAGTTTGAACTTTCCTTGGCATTGACTTTCTTTGAGATTGAAATGAAAACTGACCTTTTCCATTCCTGTGGCCACTGCTGAGTTTTTCAACTTTGCTGGCATATTGAGTGCAACACTTTCACAGCATCATCTTTAAGAATTTGAAAGAGCTCAACACAATTCCATCATCTGCATTAGCTTTGTTTGTAGTGATACTTTCTAAGGCCCACTTGACTTTGCATTCCAGGATGTCTGGTTCTAGGTGAATGATCACACCATCGTGGTTATCTGGGTCATGAAGATCTTTTTTGTACAGTTCTTCTGTGTATTCTTGCCACCTCTTCTTAATGTCTTCTGCTTCTGTTAGGTGCATACCATTTTTTTCCTTTATTGAGCCCAACTTGGCATGAAATATTCCCTTGGTATCTCTAATTTTCTTGAAGAGATCTCTAGTCTTTCCCATTCCGTTGATTTCCTTATTTCTTTGCATTGAGCACGGAGAAAGGCTTTCTTACCTCTCCTTGCTATTCTTTGGAACTCTGCGTTCACATGGATATATCTTTCCTTTCCTCCTTTGCCTTTCGCTTCTCTTCTTTTCTCAGCTGTTTGTAAGGCCTCCTCAGACACCCACTTTGCCTTTTTGCTTTTCTCTTTCTTGGGGATGGTCTTGATCACTGCCTCCTCTCCAACGTCTTGAACCTCCCTCCATCCTTCAGGCACTCCTTTATCAGATCTAATCCCTTGAATCTGTTTTAAACTTCCACTTTATATTCCTATGTTAATTTTGTTGCTAATCCCTTATCAGTGTAATTTTTAAGAAGACATCTCAGTAAAGGTTCTTTTAAAACTTGTAAGAAAAGTCCGTTTGTACAGGTATTAATTTTTGTAATCAGTTGTCATCTCACAAAACTAAAATAAGAGTTAAAAATAATCCAGTGTTGAGGTGAAAGGCATAATTATGGTAGAAAAGCTTTGTACATCACTGTGTCTTTCTTTGTTCCAGTAACAGATTGAATATAATTATGCATTCTCTTGAAGTCTGATATTTGATTGCAATTTTTAGAATAAAGTATTGTTTGTTTTTCTGATCATAATCATTTTATATGCTAAGAAAATCCCTTAGGGCTTTTATATCTACTAGATCAAGTAACGTAAGCTTATCGATCAAAGGCTCCTGCTTGTTTTTATCATCCATTAGATTCCCAGGGCCATATTTGTTTGAGTTAAAATGTAAGAATTGCTATGTCTCTTCCTGGTTTTCATGTTAATGTAGCACAATGGGAAGAAGGGATATGTTCCCATTTTTTGCTTACATTCGACACTTCATCTGACTCGTCCATTCTGGAGTAATTAAACTAAACCTGAGGCAATGAATTGCTGCCACTTGCGATTTTGCCCTAAAGAACTAAAATTCCCCTCTTTGTGTTTCTGTGTGAATTCATTTTCATACTCAAATTTCTTCTGAGACAGAAAGCACCATGCCTGGCCTTTGTCTTTATAGTTGTCCATCTCCATATGTTGTCTAATGATATTTTATCTCTTAAATAACTTCCTTATTACACTTATTGCATGCATGAAAATGATAATTCTTTTCACCTAAATCAAAGCTATTTGTTTCAATATTATCATTCATGAGTTTTCTTTTTTTTTTCTCCTATCATTATCAACTTATAGGGAATTTTTATTCTTTTTCTGTTGCTTTTTATCATACTTATGCCATTGACATTGAGATTAAAATAATATATTTTTCCTTTATATTTTAATGTGTTTTACTTTCTTTCTAGCCCTGAATGATCCCTTTTGGATAGCTCATAAAGAAATAAGCCAAATGAACCAATAGATGATTTGTACAAAAAATTATGTCAGTGATGCCAGAAATAACCTTTCACGTTCTTATCTTTTGAAAATAATGTGTGTCTGTTGCATCTGTTCTTCTTTCTCTTTGTATGATGGCTATTTTAGGTTTTGCTTATTTACAGGGCTCATTTTTATTTTCTCATTTATACAGATTACTCTCTTCTCTGGCTTGCTCCTGCTGCATTCACATACAGCTAAAAATTATGACGAGCAGACTTCAAAACCTGGATTGATCACTTTTTTCTATTTGCTACAGTTCTGAAGTAGTTCAACCTAAGTAACTGACATAATCAAGCTGAGACCATTTCTGAAAGAAATATCTCCAAAACTTAGATAACTTAGAAAACCACAAATCTCGTCAGAAAGTATCTATTCCAAACCATGTTCTGGAAATTGATTTTGAAGTTTTTCTTTGAATTAGGACTTACAATGATTTTTTGTAATTCCCCATTGATATCTATATCACTGGTGATCATTTGTAGGCATGTGATTAGTCAGTTTCAACATGGAAAATAAGTTCCAGGGTATTATTTACCGTGGATATTAACTACACAATGTAACTACACAGACTATGTTTTCTGAGATGAGAATGAAATGGTTCTTTACAATTTTTCCTTAAAATTATTATACTGAAAATGAAAGAATCACTCATGATAGAATTGCCGTTTAGTCGTATACATATTACTATGTCTGTATGTTTCAGGGAAGCAAGTGTGGTATTTAACACCTGTGTTAGAAAACTTTCCCTTGTTTTCTTTAAAACTAATGTGGGTATGTGTGTGTGTTCCTCTGTAGGACTTACATGCTCCTGGCAACTAGATTTTGCCCTAAGTTGTCAAATATAATATTTTTCCTTCTTCACTCTTTGCATCTGTGTACCTCTCCCAGTTTATTTATTTATTTATTTATGGCTGTGCTGGGTCCTTGTGGCTCCCCGAGCTTCCTCTCGTTGCTGTGCGTGGACTTCGCGTCGCCGTGGCTTCTCCTGCTGTAGAGTCCAGGCTCTAGGGCACCCGGGTTTCAGGAGCTGTGGCATGTGGGCTCAGCTGCTGTGACCGCGGGGCTCCGGAGCACAGGCGCAGTCGTTGTGGTGCATGGGCCCAGTTGCTCCGTGGCATGTGGGATCTTCACAGGTCAAGGATGCACCTGATGTCTCCTGGACTGGCAGGCAGATTCTTTACCACTGAGCCACCAGGGGAGCCCCTCAACTTTTTTCTATTCCTCTTATCAAATTATAAAAATGAAAATATTTTAAAAAGAAACAAACTAAAATTGCAGAGTAAAATGCATGGTCATGTCATTAAAGGACACATGTAGGGGAAAATGTGGAACAGCAGAATGTTGTTGTTTGAGGCAAAAAGTAGAAATGTTTTCATTTTTATATACCTACCACATTTCCCGTATAACTTTAACAAAGTTTATTTTTTATCCTAAAAGCTGAGGAACAGTGTATAGAGAAGTTGTGTTCAGGTAATGAAGGCTTCAAATATTTTGAGATGTTCAAAGAATATCACTTCAAAAGACAGAAACTCTGAAAAGTATGAAATTAAAATTCTGAATGTATATTTAAATGGCTGCTAGAAAAAAAGGAAGCAAAGTATCCATGTCTGTCTGTGGACTTACATTCTTATTTAACAAAACTCTGAAAAGGGGCATTGTACTGACACATGGATCTATTCATTAGGCTTAAGAATTTAACAGTTTCGGTAGAATGACAGAGCAGAGTATTTATTTGAAGTCCCAGGCAACAAGGACCCAAAACATTTTCCAGAATTTCAAAATATTCCATCTATTATTTTTCAGTAAAATATATTATTACCTTGCAAAGAGAAGACATGAACTGCTCAATGAAACATATCACAAAACGAAGGATTTGGTTGGACAATGTAATCAATAGTGGGAAACATGAATATGTTCTCTCTTTGCAAATATTAACAAATAATAAACTTGTTCACTAAATCTGCATTTTTGTACTCATTTTATTAATACCATCTCACCCCTATCCAAATCTCTTGTCAGTTTCATATCTGTGCTTCCTTGCAGGATGGTGAATGGGATAGTTCCCTGAAGCATGTACCTCAAGTTCTTTCATGAGCAGATTCATACAAAAATCAATGGCAATAGAAAAATGATGTCCATTTAGTTTAAACCAGGTGGCATACCTAAAATAATTTAGTTAGGCTGTGATTTATTTTAATTGCAAGGTCAGAAACCCAGTGACTTATTTTTATACCTGCTTTGAATCATCTAGAAAGGTTAGAATTTAACCGAGTGAAGGCATATGCGTTAAACTGTAGTAATTTAAGCCGCTTACAAGGAAAAGGATGCTAAATTTTATTCAGCTTTCACTTTTCAATCAT